TYGTGATTATGAGAGCACTTAATATTGTTCAAATRAATTCTGTAAAAAAAATGTTGTATAAAACGCTTTCTCTGGGGTAACGTATTGATAATAAATTTTCTAAGTCACTTCTACTTWAACTTTAACTGAATTACACTAAAATATTAATTTGTTTTTATGTTCACTATCTTCTGATCTCTTTTATTGAATACGTTTATGAAAATGTATTAATTAGGAATTAAGTTTCAACAGATAAATATTTATGAAAAAATACCCGTAGGTATTACACAAGCAAACAGTTAACAGGAAGGTACAATCTGTGATACTGTATAAAAAATAGAAACACCGATGACAGCTTAACTTGTATATTATTGTACTATGAATGCTGATAAAAGTTTTACATTAACTTAATTTAATCACAGATTCAATATATTGATTTATATGGCGCATCCACCATTTGTACACCTTTCTTCTGAATGTTTCTAGTATATGCAATCCATAATACACTGGTTTAACTTTTTTTAACATAGTTTTTATTTCTCCTGTGCGAATGCTGTAGCTAAATAATTAGACGTTTATATGAAAAAATATCAAAAAACTTTATTATCTAAGAGCTTTTACTCTAGTTAAAGAACATGTGAAGTAGATGAGTGAAACAATTCAGTCTATATAAAGTACTTATGAATGTGTAAATCACAGAATTCTTTTCCTAAATTATTGCTGACGGTATTGTCCGTTATAATCTTGCGGTGGAGCATTGTTTTTTTGTCCTTGAGGTCCTTGACGTGTCTCTCTTTCCTCAGCCTCCTGTAACACCGCAATTTATTATATTAATCCAATAAAACAAATTTTGAATTACTTGTTGTGCTTTTATTCCCGCAAAAATCAAATCTAATCCCTTCTGCACTTCAGGACTCACTGGGGGTGGAGTAGGCAAATGATCTCCTGAAGGATGGAAACCTTTCTCGTCAGCAATGTAGTTGACAGTTATTACTTGTCCTTCAGGAGAAGTATAAGTGTAAGATCCTTGCTGCACTTGAGCGTTTAAGTGTTGGCCCTCTGCGTCTGGATCCGGTCCAAGATCCTTCACGTAACCTTCTTCTTGAGCAATAATATTATTTCCGGTTTCCCATCTGCAGGAAATTTATTACCGTTTTATTTCACACTAAAAATTGCAGTTACTTACGCAGCTTTGTAGCTGCCATCGTTGCCTTGTTCTTTATCGAATCTAATAATAGGGATAAAGGTTGTAGATTCGTGCGATCTTGGACGTTGTTCTTGATATTGTTGATTGTACTGGGGTTTTTGTTGCTCTTGATATTGCTGTTGCGGCTTTTGCTGGTACTGCTGGTCGTCGTCGTATTGCTCTTGGCGTCTTTGTAAAGGACCTTGAGCAAGGCAAGTTCCGATTARGWAAGCCGTGAGGATCTAAATAAAAAATATAGCCGGTTTATAAATAGCGAATTGTCAATATGAAAAATGCGAGGAGCAAACATCGATTATGCAACGCGTTTAACCTTTATCTGTCGCCCATCCCAAGAAGTTGCACCAGCAACAATCAAATGAAAGTAGAATCCTTCTTATATAATCGTTTAGAAATTTTAAAAGTCAAAGGTCAGTAAAGTGAAAGGTAAAGATGGCTTACCAAAAACTTCATGATGATGCTCGTGAGGGACTAACACATATACAATTTGTCGATAAGAGAAATCTGTATTTATACCCTCACTACTGGAGCAGCTCCACTCTTCTAGAGCGCCACCACGAATCTGAACACTCATCCTTAAATAGTCTGCCATTATGATACATTTCCTATAAAAAAATATATAGGTGTGAGGATCATCTGCATTTGTGTAATATCATTTTCTGAATTCCAATCTTCGCTGACATTTTCATCAGTTTATAATAAACCATTTTAATGTTTTTGTTTTTCGAAGAAATTATAGACGCCTTGGTAGTGAAAGAATTTCGTAAAGTAACCATCAGCAATAACTTTAATGTTAAAGTCATTAAACTATTAAACAACATTCTCAAGAATTGCAACAAAAAGATTAACAAAGCGTTTAGAAAAAGTTACTGTAGCTGAAAGGGCAAACAAGCAAATAAAAAACAAAATTTTAATGAAATGAAAAAATTAAAATTTACTTTTCATTTAATTTGTGATTTTATTAAACTTAACTTAACCCTTAACAGACTCGACGTATATTTAATTTTAGAATTTTTTTTACAACTAAAAATAGTGTAATAAGAAATTTTTCTATATTATAATCTCAAAGAAAATTTGTGTCTGTTGCATGATCTTCATTTCCCATAGTAATGTTTTTATGTCCTCGAACTTTTACTGATTACTATTTACGGATTCAGGATAGTGATACGAGTATTAACATTAAATGTTACTTTTTAAATAATTAAATACGTAGGTAATCGATATTTTACATTTAGAAATGATTAGCGATGTAATAAATTTTACAAAATTTCTCAGAGATTAAGTGTTAACAACCTTTATTGATATATTGATAATTATTAGAAGAGTATCTAAATATTTATGACATCAGTTCATGCATTTGAGCAATATGCCAAGCTATGCAAAAAATGCACTTAATGCACTATTGTGCAATAATCATTATTTATTTTTTAGGTAGGTATTTATTCGATTTAGTTTTCTTATAAAATTTATGACTTCCGCCATATTTACAATGCTTATTCTTAAATGTCAACATCCATTTCAGTTTCAAATTTGAGCGTATCTGGTGAAAACTTTTGCATAATTTACGACAAATCGGACATAAATCTGAATAGATAAATACTTAACAGAAATATCTTTRAATTTCTATTGCGGTTAAACAAAAGAAACCGAGCATTCGCTGACATGGGACATGTTTTAAACAATAGAAACTTTTTCAGTCGACAGAAACTAGAAAATTAATTAATAATGTAGTAAAAGAAAAATACGAGTTTCTGTGTTAAAATCTACTTAAAAATTTAAAAAGTTGTGTTGATAAAAATTAAAAAAAACTTTCCAAAATCAAGAAAAACAACGACGTTTTCATAAAGAAGGAAATAGTAGCTTTATACTCATTCTAATAGTAGGTAATAATTTTGAATATTTTGATCATTTGTTTTTTTCTCGTTTAAATTTTGCGAATTTCTCGTAACGCCCCTTATAGATTTGTCAGAAGTTAATGTAAGTATCTATAGCAAATTGAGCAGCCATTGCTGCATCAAAAGGCAAATTACAAACAAAAATAAATAATTGCATTACTTATTTATAAAAATAGATATGTGTACGGTAGATATTTATTTCTTAATAATAAAGGTAATCTTTTCGTTTTTTTATAAGGATTAATTTTACACCAAACTATTTTTATGTAAAACGGACCGTTTTCTGGATATAAGTAAAAAGGCACAAAAGAGCAATTTATGTGCTTTCTAACCTCCGTTCAACTCGGAGAGCCGGGAACTTTTTATATGTTAATTTTCTAACCAAACCAAATGTTCGTTAACTAGATTATTAATGTTTTTTTTACTATTTTGGCATATATAATTAAGAAAAAAAATAAAAAATTAAAACAGTTTTATTAATCGATGAAAAAAAGAGGTAATTTGCACTTTTAGATAAACGGAAAATAAAACAACAGACTTATTTAATATGATTCTTTTTATTAAATGTACAGCATGCAAGTACACTTAAAACAATAATAATTATTTATAAAAATATATCATTTATTTTACAAAAAGCATGTAAACTTACTTTTCTCATTATTACAAAAAATACTCAAGTAGCGTTTCTAGGCTTGAGTTGATTGACTAGGATTGTTTCCAGTGCTGGAATATTGCTGTTGCTGGAACTGACGTTCTTGATGTTGGAAAGTTTGAGGTTGTTGTTGAAAATCTTGATGTTGTTGCTGCTGCGTAATTCCYTCTGGAGCTTTTGGTATATGATCCCCTTCAGGTTGGAATCCATTGTCGTCGGCCACATATCTGTGTTTAAAATTTAAAATCTAATCTACTTAAAATGTAATTATTTATTCCTACCTGACCGAAATTTGTTGACCATCAGGAGCAGTGTAAGAATAAGCTCCTTGAATCACTTGTACATCACCAGTAGCTTCAGGATTATTAGGATCAACTGCTCGCCCTTCCGCACCTTTTTTCACATAACCACCCTGTTCTACGTGAATGCCATTGCTAGTCTCATAACTACAATTAACAAAAATCAATTTGTTATAACTTGTTAAATCATGTAATCACCTGTAATTGAAACTGCCATCAGGTCCAACAACTTCAGTTTGGCTCACTATAGACACTGGGGTTGTAGCACTTCCACTTTGTGTGTTAGATTGAGAACGTTGTTGATATTGCTGTTGTTGYTGTTGTGYAGCTAACTGAGGATTTTGTTGAGATGTAGGTCCTTGTGGTCGCGATAACGCGGGAACAATAAGAGCAAAAACAGCAATCTGAAATTTACAAACATTCTATATTTGTCTTACTAGTTTTATTGTATTGACTCAAAATATTGTAATTGCTATGTTTACGCAATTTCTACTTAAACACATTTCTAAAAAATCACAAATAACTCACTGGAAGATATTTCATCTTGAACTGTGCTCGCACAAGTGCAACAATTGTACTACAATCAATCAGTCCATAATTTGGCTATTTATACTATGCATTATTTGTAAAACCTTTGGTAATGTTTCCCATAAAACTTGCTAACTGATGTAACCTCGTTAAAAATTTAATGCTAAGTAAACATTACACAAACAGTGTTACGATGAACAAAGAAATTGGCGACAGATGATCTATCAATAGAAAACACAAGAAACCGTTCAAAAATATTTATTTATGTGTATTTTACAAATCAYAAATATGGCTGTGGCAGTTGATATACAAAATGYGTAACAAATCTAATATTTCYCATCTTTCGGTGGCGGAGCTGTTGCCAGATAATCTAAAGCACGTGCAATCAGTGGTGGCACTTGCGGGATGTGCTCTCCTTGTGGCCGATACCCATTCTCATCAGCAGTATAAGAAACCTTATAAGTTTTACCATCATCCCCAGTGTATTGGAAATCTCCACTGACAACTTCTCCAGCGTTGTCTTTATCAAAAGTCTTCAATTCCCCAACTTCTTGCGCTCTACTTCCGTCTCCGGACTCATARCTGTAGTGAAATTTTCCGGTGTAGTCAACTTCACTTTCTTGACTCACAATTGGGATAACTTCTTTTTCGATATGAGCCGCAAAAGCAGCGGCTGCTAAAGACACTACTAGCACAAGCTTTATCATTTTGACAATAGCAATTTGGCCCCGGATTGCTATTTATACTGAGGGACTCTCCTAGTTGGTAAAAGATGAACAAATCAGAATTTATATTCTATTCACAAAAAATGTTGTTTTTTTGGCATAGCAAATTAAATTTATAATCGAAGATGATACTATGTGTAAGATTTATTTTTAGACGTCAAAGATTAACTAAAAAAGGTTATAACATTTGCTATCCTTCTTCAAAACGCTTAGTTAATCTGTAATATATTTATTGAAAAATAGAAAAGCACAACAGCCTTGGTTTTATTTTGGTCCAATTTAGTAACGCGAATTAAAATAATTAAATTTTTGGTACCTAAACCGAAAATCTTAAAAATCAATATTGCATATGATTTCAAATCTGCTTAATTGCTAAATAAATATTTGAAGATCATTTTAAATTTTCTATTTGACT